TATATATATATATATATATATATATATATATATATATATAAGCATACGTATATATAACACATATTAGCAAATAACCGTTAATAACTACGATCTGTCTGACCGAGTGAACCCGCTTGAGCAGGACTATCTCCGGTTGTGTTGCGACTTTAAAACATATCTCGTTGGTTGTTCATCGTGATTTTACATAGCTGAACTCGCTGTAACTCAGTTGTTGTACCTGTTGATTCGCCAGTCTGTTGTATCTGACTGACGACCCTGCTCCAGTGCCTAGTGCCGGAAAAAGACCTACAGAAAGGAACAAAACAACTATATTCCGAACAAGCGAGTGGGTGCGTGCGAGTGCAAAAATACGACCTCAAGCTATTTATTGGAGGGCAGTCTGAACTTGATCCAATGCTGACGCACGCGGTCTGGCTTTGGTACAATCCTGTGACGTGCTGCATACTGCGGGGGCGTTGTCTGACCTTGATTAACGGTGACTCGCGCTGTCTGGGTCTGATACAAGGCTGTGACGCGCTGCATATTGAGGGGGCGTTGTCTGTCTGGTCAGCATCTAGCGCAGCTAACGCTTTCAGTAGATTTCATTCAGTGGTTGCTTTCTAATCATCCTGATATCATCAGTCAAACAGGTGCCAAGAGCACAGCTTTGAGAGCCTAGGTATCATGGGATTTGTTAATGTACGGATGTACGCAACTGCACAACGCAGAAGTGCTTTGAAGTCTAAATTATGTGCATCAAGCAATAATGGCAAAGCTTTCTGATGGAAACCGAAATGGTACCAGTAGTGAGAACTGAAAATGAATGTGCATTTGTATCGTTACAGAGAAGAGTAAACATGTAAGACCTAGCATCTTAACTACAAGTAAAACCAAGAGCCACATGAAAATTACCGTAAACGTGAAACAGCGGCATGACTATGCTCTATCTACTTACCGCAGTGATCTCAGAAGTGTTTATTCTCTCCACCATACTGAACCCTTTCGCCTTGGCCAATTCTAAGATTTTCTTCTCCAGTAGTGAAAGTACTTCTAGCACCAGTCTCTTCCACCTGGCATCCATGGAATCGTTGGAATGACATTGGTTTTTCGGTGCAGACGATAGAACTCCAATCATACTAACATAAAGTGCGTTGGTTTTGGAAGCAGGAGTACTGTTTGTTTCTGGGGTTGTCGGATGACAATAATTCAGATACCTCAGCAGCAAATTCACACTCGATGTGCATGTTGGTGGCGTCTCTACATGTTCCGATGGGTTCGCCAAAAGCACTCCTACCAGTCTACGGTTTTCCGTCGTTGGTTCCCCATTGGTCTCGAAAGACGGACAGAATGCAAGTAAAACGATACTATCCTTTGTAGGCATAAAGCTCATGTCCACAACACTGGCCAGATCAGCTTGTGATAGCCCAAGTGCCAAGTACAAAACATCCTTTTTCATGAATATTTCTGTCAACGTTTCCTTTATCTCTTCCCCTTTTGGTTCTGAGCCATCCCATTCAACCACGTCAATAGGGACGTTTTCGAGACTATCCTGGGACTGCATGGAAATAAAAAGCAATGACAAAAATTGTTGAATAATTGGACAGAATAGAAGAACATAAAGGAGCTTGTGAGTCTATGAAAAAGATTGATTCGATTAAAAATCGAACTGAATAGTTCTTTGCAAAGGCTCTCCCCAATACATCGGACGGTCATCCTGTGACTCAACAAAACCCACCAATCTGGACGGATTTTCCACGAACCAGAAATTAAAGAAGAAGTAGACACAACGAAAGTTGCAGGTAACCAAAACAATGATCAAAAAACATATTAGTGATCTGATTTACATTAAGTCTGTGGAAAGTTTCCAAGATAGTTTTTCTCGAATTGAATGGGTAGTTCATCGTCTGAAGAAGAAGTTTCTCACTAAAGACTGAATAATTTGTTTTTCTCCAAGGCTAGTAAAGCTCCTATCGAAAACTTCTATACACCTACCTGGCCTCAAGAGCCGGATTTGCAACAGTACATTACCAGTATCGGAAATATTCTCATCCTATCCGCACCAAACTTGTCACCTTGCTAATCCAAAACGTCAAAATAAACTGAAGATCATAATCTCAAGTCTGGCAGCTGATACCAGCCTTTTCTCAGTCAGTTAATGTGGCGGAAACGGTTCGAACAAGCTTGTCCTAGACGATGATCTCCGTCCTTCCAGGATGTCACTAAAAACCTTTTTTCTCCGGAAACTGAAACGGGAAGTCAAGTGAGTTTGTTTGCCGAAATTCCAGGAATGACGCATATCTTCAGTATCTCCTGAGAAAGAACAAAGGACAAAAAAAGTAAAAAATTTCACTGCTTCGCCTAATGAAGACAAACGTGTATACTTCTCAGTCTAATTTCAGCTGCCGTTTCATCGTGATACTCTGCGAACTTATGAGAAATACCTACAATACAAGAGATGCAACCGGATCCTGTGAAACTCCAGTCCGCGTCAGACATGTATTGATGAGGAGTCGTGTTTGGACTCGGATCTACCGCTGCTGCGATCTGCGTAGGACATTCTCGGTGTTGTTATAAACCATCTATCACTCTGATGTATTCAAGAAGCCAATTATCTTTTCAGCACTGCACAATCGATAGTACCCTAGCTTTCTGGCATAATTATATCGAACGGCAATCACGGTTACTGTAATAATACAAAAACAACTTTAATATAAACAAATGGGTTCCCATATGTTACACTGGCCTCGAAAAAACGCTCAAGCAACACTCAGGCTTTTTGACAAACCGTCTTACCCGATTGGAGTTTTATAGAAATATTGTTCCTGAAAGTTCCTCGGATATAATATAGATTCATGTATCTTTGTACAACATAATAGTGGAGAGTTTCGTGACACCATGATAGATAAACCACTGTTTTAATCAAATTTGAATCTTGAACGAGGCGAGATGGCCCAAGTAGTAAGAGCACGAATTTATTGAGCGAAAGGTCCGTGGTTCACACCCGACCTCTGCCTCTCAACTTCCCCTGTCTAGGCTTGGGTAACCTGGCAGTATCCCAGCCCTCGTGCTTCCTTCGGGTGGCATGGCAGCTAGGCACCGACAGGGTGCCACATAATAACATTTAATTAATTTAATAATGTACGTGACTTGTGCGTCAGAAAGGATTCTAAACTTATTCAACTATGATGTTCCGAGAGAACGACACCTGTAGCGGACATGTCCTTGTTTTCTCAAACAACTTCACTTGATTTGTCCGGTACATCCGTATTCACTAGACGCGCCTGCTCCGCAAGCACACAAATCACGTGATAAACCCGGTCCCGCTCGCAACCTTGACCGACCACAAGTCAGTTCCCGTCTCATACTCATCGGGACGATTCTATGTAATATACGCACGCCAAACCTTCCTATATATAAGAAGGCACAACACAGTTACCACATATACCAGCGTGCGTGCAAGGGGGAGGAAGTCACCCAAACTCTTCAAGTCGACGGACAATTACGGAGCATGTGTAGCAGCTATACTGCGGGGAAAACACGTTCCCGCCGTCCGGACTTTCACGAGTTATCCACAAACGATAAGTCACCTTTTGATTTATTTCACACACACACTTTGTGTGCAGTCCACAAACGCTGTGGCTATACTCCTTTTGAACCTAGTAGTGCACCATTGTGGAAGCCAGTTCCAAAAACTTGAGACAGACCATTGTGGACATCCGGCATGAGATTTTTCTCTCTAACATGGTCCTACTAGAGCGTCATACAAATCACACGTGTTGGTTGATGGATGTCGGACAAAGACAGCTGAACTGCTTTCCACTGTGAAAATACTGTCCTTTACGGACTAGGCTTACTGGTAGGAAGGACTGTGAGACATGTTTCGGCGACACCTCTCAGTAAGTATTGTTTACGGAGGATAGTCAGTCAACTTTCTTGGGGAAATTTCGGGTCACTGAAGCTCGTTAAAGTAGAATGTGTTACTGGATCCAGAAGGGCTCGTCCCAGAAGCACGATTAAAAGTACAAAATAAGTGTCCTTAGGGGGTTCTGAAGGCGAATGGCTAGGTACTGGCGTTTAGAATCTGACCATTTGAAGCGACGTCGCTTCCCTACCTTTTTCTTACAGACAGTTCCTTTATAAGACTTAATCAAAACAAGTTAACATGCTGAATATGCAAGGTACAAGGTTAATCAAAGTGGTTTTTTGTGCCAGTAAGGTTGAAGACTTATCGAACACAAAACAAATAATACCTGGAAGAGATATGTCCCGAATATGTCGAAGAAATTAGCTTTCAGTACAATATACGTCATGCCTAACCAAAATAGTTCCAACTTGAATCTGGAGTAGTAACCCGGGAAAATCAGTTTCCTAAGAGTTATATCCACTCCCCTGGAGTATCTGTATCCAGATAAATATGTCTTAATGAAAAAGAACACTTTTAAAGTCACCAACCTTCAATCTGGAGAGGTCTTTTGTAACCTTGTTCACATTAGCTTTACTTCCTGCTGGAGGCACCAGGGAATCCAAAATTTGGCCGATGTTCCCAGTCTCGTAGAAGGTGCTCAAGTCAACCTGAAATCCCATTTTTTCCAATGAATCCACAGCATGAACCGCCTGATAAGACGGAAATGGGAATATTACTTTATGTAAAACAAAGAAAGTGTCCTACAGTATTCTTTGTACTCTAGATAGAAAGGCTACAAATGCGCGCCGTCAAACGAACATTGCAAAACATCCCAGGAGTTCCTAACGGGAAAGAACAACTAATTTTCCATTGAGAATAAGCTGGACGTCGCTGGCTCTTTCAAAACGTCTGTTCCTGAAACTACACTCACCCTTTCCATCCTTATCGTGTTAGTTGTGGAGATAGTCTCTATTGGAAGAAACCACAAGGAGACATTTAGGCATTTTAGGCAGGACGTTCAGTCAGTTGATCGCCGTGCAAGTGAAGTCGGTAAATAATGAAACGCTAAGAAGTACTGTACGGCTTTATACTCATCCCGTCTGAGAATCATCACTATCTGAAACCCTGTGAAAAGATTTGAAGACCTAATCGAATTCCGTATGTGAGAACGGTGAAACTGGTAGGTGAGAAAATTATTCGGTGCTCATATATGACATTTTATAACTTCTTCCCAGAAGGAGCTATCTCCATCAAAATAGAACATGATTCCAAATAAACCTGTAAGGGTTTCGTCAGAACTGACGCTCTGCTGAGTATGTGCACAAATACTGTTGTAATATACTTCTTAATTCGACAGTGATCAGGTGACATAAAAATCAAGCACTCAGTATCTGTCCTACAATGTTTCAATCTGTTACTCCATCTAATCTACATATTGTAGACTCTGCTCTGGAGACTAACTTGTCGCAGCGTCGCTCACGGGGTGGATAAAGCAAATTCACCGTTTCATCATTGATTTCTGCATTGTGAACTTTGTCAGCGATTTAAACCGCATAAAGGAACCCAACTTTGTAGGTCTCTCGCGTCATCACTCCAGACGGAGACAAATGAAGCGGCGCCAAAGAAATCGAAATGATGTTCCAAAACAAGACTGACCAAAGCCGACAATACAAAAACGCTTTTTAACGCTTTTTTCAGCCTGAAAATAACGTCTGTGGAACATGGAAGTCGATCGTCTTCACGGGTTGGATGGTCGTCTTTAAGAGCGTTTACGCAGCACTCAGAAGAAATCAGCTTATGCTGGTCTCCTTTGAGAGAGCTGTTATATTCCCCCGCAGGAATTTGAACAAGGACTTGCTTCCTAATAAAGTCGGGAATTTTTTCGAGCATTTGCATTTCGATTAGTCTTGCAGTTTTTCATCTAGGAGTTTGATCATTCCCCAGCACTTTTCAAAGGAGGACCGTGAGATTCCTCTTTTAGACTCCTATAAACATCAGTATGAAAGGATGTCATCTGGGAGTCACCACAATTCGCGTATAAATCCCGTCACATTAAACTGACGTGTCCATAGTTGTTTGTTAGATACGGGTGACATTATCAGTTGTATACTAAAATATCTAGTTCCCTCTTCTTAAAGGCAATCGCTGATCATGTTAAACTCAGTTGATTTCAAAGAGGCTCGAAATCCCAAAGTCGTAGCCGACCTTCAGGCACAGAATGAAGTGGGATATTTTCCGGCCATCTATCCCACAACATACAGTAGATTATTTTGGAACTCCAATACGCTTTTTATAACGGAATATACCTCGAAGGGCTGACGCCAAATTATCCCTTACGAAATGGTATCTACTCTTGTTTGTAAAAGTCAATCAAAGAATACACAATCCTCACAAAGATATCCTAACCAAACTTCCCACTCGCATTTTGGTAGGTATTGCAGGATTTGCAACGAACAACATGAGTAGTCTGTTGGTTTAGTCCCGGATTGTATAAGTGTAAAGCCAGCCCATTTACAGGCAAACCACCTACGTTAGAGCAAGAGCTATCAATCAGTCAAATTCGAGCTAGCTCAGTGGATACGGTGCACACTCACCAACTGGAAGTTCCTTGGTACGAAACCCAGCATCTCGACCGCTTCTATCAAGGCTTGGGAGAACTGGCAATATCTCAACCCTCTTGCTTACATCTGGTGTCACGGTGGATACTACTGATGAGGCATGCTAGTGGTATGTAGTTTTCCCGTAAATCCACTTCGCGTCAATTGAAAAGTGGGATTTATTACGGAATTCGTGGAACTGCTTTGTACTATTCGTTTACATTTGAGCGATAGTCAGTGAGTAACTACGAAAGTTCAGAAAGACGCGTTCGAGTAGGAGACGGACATTCAGTTTTTATAAAGAAGATGCATGTGAGGGTTTTGCTTCCTCGTCTAATAGTCTGTAACCGTTCAGTTAGTGTTCTCCAATAAACAACTACGCAGCGAAGGCCTTGTTCCTTTCATTGGTAGCTTTGGACATAGGTATTAAGACAGTATTAGGGCTGAGCGACCATTTTCGTTATCAGTATTGGTATTACTATAACTATTAGATATAAGTCTGGCCGGGATTCCAAGAACCGGTATCCTAGACCAACAAGGTAGAATTCCTAACTAGTGAACTGAAAAGGAAGTGTGGCTTCTCGTATCTGAAGCCACTGTGTGCTCTAGACAAAGTGAAAGCTATTGACTGAAATTGGAACGCCGGTACTTATGTAAATAAAGCTTGTTTTTATTACTGTCCAAAGTGTGCTTGTGGTTTTCTTTTATATCAGCTGAATATCACAAGCCAAAAATAACATCTATCCCAAAGTTCACGAACTGCTTGCGCGATTTTCCTTCGTAAGTAAATCATGCACGGATGGCACCTCATACAGGAGAATTAATCAGCACTACACGAGTGAATCCGAATTTTCTGGAACTATCGGTGGTATGTGCTGCACGAAACGACCCTCAAAGGAGCTTTTTACCTGCAGCTTTCTAGGACGGGAACTGCCCCCTGTCCTTGAACTACAGGTGGATGCACGACAAAGTCCCACTGATTTTCAGTGACTTGGTGATCTCAGGCTCTTCGGCCGACGAATTCTTGGTGTAAGTTCAGTGATAACTGCAAAGTGCTTCTGTGCATCATTATCTATCTGTCGCTCCTTAACGCAAAAGCCTAGTTGCAACAAGACGGCCGACAATGAATACAGGACAATGCAATGCACAACGAGTTCCACAGGAACTCATTTATTAAGTTAAAAGTTAGCATCAGACATATCAGAGTCTTACAGAAATCGGCTGACTCTGCGTGCACGCGACGCGTCTTCCAATGGTCTGATTCGCAATCGACTCACAAACACATCACACAAACACGCTACTTACTCGCATGTGATAAGGTAATCTTTGGTCCAATAGACAGCAATGAATTTTAGGGTTTCAAACTAAATGACAGTTAGGTGACAGTGGAGGAAGAGATACAACACGAAACTCGTTGGAACATTGTGAATTACATGGACTACTTCTATCAAGCACCGCAATACTCAATACGCAATACTCTGGCCTAATTTAGCAACAATCAAGAGCGGTACTGTGCGGTACCGTGCATCCAACTGGTCCCTACTAAACTTATTCGGCTTCTAACCACTTCAGCCGAAATATGTCAGTCAGCATTACGCAAGCCAAGGAGGGATATTCGTTGATGTATCTTATTCCATGCAGTTACGTCATGATGAACCCTTACTCAGCATGTGGAACATCAGTGACGTTTATGCGATATGGCTTGTCTACGCAGCGTGTGACCGCCCATAACAAGCATAGAATAGCGGCAATAGTAATGACAAGTAAAGAATCTGCTTGGCAAGTATATACCTACTGAAACAATGAGCGAATCACTAAGAATATTCAGAGTTCACATAAAATGATTACCGTAAGCAAACCACATGTCATGACAGATGTGTTAATCATTTTGTCAGGGTTTTGTTGTCAGGATGACGTCAGTTGTTCAACCTGAGTCAATCGGTCGGACAGTATGGTCATGATTAAGTCTGCGTGAAAGGATTTTCAATGTTCCAGAATGTAGTTTTTGGGGTTACAAGTAGTATAACCAGACTGGACAACACCAAACCGATTATGTTCCAGCTTATTAAGGCAAGAAATCACGCAACCAGTGGGATACCGCAAGGGAAACGATCATGTTCTACGGAGCTGTAAACTTTGTCCGCTTAATCAACTCAACAAAATCCTGAGCAAAACAGTACCGCATGAGATTCCGCACAAAGTCGTGGATCGAACCGACCATACCCTATTTATAGTCATGATTAGAACACCAGAGCTCAACTAAGGGGCAGATCTGAAGCCAGTAGCATAGCAAAGGGGTTGTTGAAGAGTAGAGTGTATGTATCAAAAGGAATAGTATTTCAGACTACCAGTGGGTCACTAAAAGACCAGCATTATGTAGCTAATTGGGGCGAAATATTGTGCGTCGTAGTTTGAATTATGGACCCCATACAATGTCGAGTTTAGCATCATTCCAGATATACCAAAAAATCAGTGTTGTGCGTTCGCAGTGCAGTACACTCCAAATCGACTACTGCTTGTTTCACCTCTCTTCAGTTATGAGATTTTTATCAACAGGTCTGTTTTAGAAAAAAAAACCCTCGACCTTGTTGCTTCCAAGTGGCGACAGGTGGCACTAACACTACTGGAAAGGCCGCTATGTTCAAAAGCATTCACTTGTAACTCTGTCGCGCACTTATTAAGCGCGACCACCTGGAAGGATATTTATTAGGGTCAGTTCATCCAGGGTGTCCACACGGTCCCGTAGGACAACGGCATTTAAGGGTCAAAAAGCCTAACTTCATCGTCCATCCAAAATTCATGATTACGAAATGGGACAGTCTAGCTATGGCAGTAATCATCAGAACATGTTCCCTGAAGAATAGGAATATACAAGACACTGCAGCTTACGCAAGTGTGGACATTTTATGGAAAATCATGATCAGTTCAGCTTAAAACATAACTTAATTGAATGCGAATATCTGTAACTTTTTCAGGTGGAGCAAACGGAACGTTATAGAAGAACGTGAAAGAGAATACAGAAAGCATGGATATCATTGGTCCTGTCGATTTACTTGTGCTTGGCTGGAAACAATGCATGATATTGCAAGCAAACAATGTCGTTAGCGTTTGTA